AGAAATGACTCCAAGCCACCAATATCATACTAGGAAAGATCTTAAAAAATCAACTAGGAAAGGGGTCAGGTTTTCATGGTGGTTTGGGAAGTCAGTCTCAAAAAAGAAGGGATTGCATGAGAAGGATCACAGAATAAAAAAAAAGCACGCAAAGCAAAGCACGAATCTCTCTGCCTGGGAGTCGAACCCAGCTTTCGCGCGGATTATGTACAACGCATGTATCCTATGTATGACAGGCGCGTGTACTAACCGATATACTAGCAAAGATGTTAAAGATTCCAGCGTACTCCCACCTGATGCTCTGCCAATGGGCTGCTATGCTTGTATCGAGAGCGCCAAAAAAAAGAACAAAAAAGAAAAAGGGATGTACATACGAACCCTCTCTGTAGTAGAGGAATGGAATGACTGCAGGCCACCAATATCATACTAGGAAAGATCTTGAAAAATGAACTAGGGAAGGGCTCAGGTTTTCATGGTGGTTTGGGAAGTCAGTCTCAAAAAAGAAGGGATTGGTATGGGAAGGATGACAGAATAAAAAAACAAAAATTGGTAAAGGATGCTCCCTCGTCCTAATAACTCTCTGCCTGGGAGTCGAACCCAGCTTTCGCGCGGAGACACATGGAGGGACGCGTGACAGGCGCGTGTACTAACCGATATACTAGCAAAGATGTTGAATGTTCTCCCACGGGGACCTAGAGGGTCGGGTGTCAAGATATGCGGGAAAGAATTACGACGGAAGACTCGAAGTAGAGTTAGCGCGAGACGGCGTTTACAGACATGACTGTCTCACTATGGGATTGCACTGGCAGTGCCGTTGCTAGATCAATTGGAAGCGACTTTGCGTCACCGAGATATGGCACTACAATGATGATGGGAGATCGTCGCGTTGAGTGCGAGAGCGTCCGCGACGCTCACCTGAGGATTGCACAAAGGGAATGTTTCGGGTGCAATGTGAGATGTATGTTACGTCACCCTACATTCCCGATACGACGTTGGATGGATGACCTCCCATACTGTGAGATGGGCTCGCGCAACGGGCGATGAGGGGACCATCGCCAGAGAGTAGAGGTCTCCGCAAATGCTCCTTAGCCTTGGAGTCCGCATTTGCGGCAAACAGGTGCGTGTACTAACTGATATAAGTAATAGCCAAAGATGTTGAAGATGGGAGGGAGAGTCTCGTCTGATGCTCTGCCGATGGGCTGACCCATGCCTTTTATTGAGAGCGCCAAAAAACAGAAAGAAAAAAAAATGTACGAACCCCGGTGGAACGTAGTAGGTTCAACAAAGGAATGACTGCAGGCCACCAATATCATACTAGCAAAGATCTTAAAAATGACGTAGGGAAGGGGTCAGGTTTTCATGGTGGTTTGGGTAGTCAGTCTCAAAAA